TCATTCACATATCCATCATCCATCTATCTATCCAGGCAGCCGCCTATCCATCCATTATCCATGTACCTATTATCCATCCATCCATCCACTCATTCACCCTTCCATTCATCCTTTTATTCATCCATCCATCCATCCATCCGTCCTCTCCTCCATCCATTCATCTGTGTACTCATCCACCTATTTATTCATCCACATACTCATTCATGCATCCATCTATTCCCTCTATCAACTTTTAGGGTCATACACTTTCTGTGTGTTGGATACAGGGTGGACACCATGTTCCTGAGAGGTGCAGACCCAGACTGACAGAGCCCTACTACGTCAATCATCATCACACTCTATTTATTTAGGCCTCCGCCTAGCTAGTGGAGGCCTAAATTAACAAAATTAACTTGTAAGTTTGTGTATGAGACTTTATCACAATACAAATGGAAAAGTTTTCCTTAGTCCAACTGTATTTCCTTCATCTAGGAAAAGCATGGAGAACTGGTTTAGTTCTCCCATAGTTACCCAGGACATTGGATGGCAACTTGACCCTGTCCTGGTACTTCTGTGAGAAGCAAGACTGGCTTGGGTTGGGGGTGAGTGGGACGGAGCAGGGGAAGGCAGGATACTGGGATGGAGGTCAAGAGCAACAGCTCCTGTTCAACTCTCATTGGGAAGATCCTGTTGTTTGTTTAGGGAATGTTATTCAGCACAAGCATGATATTGTAATTATGTGACCCAGAAAAAACCATGCAGTTAAGGAGTCTCAGTTTTCTTTGATTTGCGATGTCAGCATTGTACGCAGGTCCGTGCTCCATGCGGATGGTCGGTGTTGGCCAGTCCTTGGAGAAGAGAGGGGAACAGACATAACCGTAACGTAAGCACATGTGGACAAGGCTCCCTTCCCCAGGTCAAGATATGTGTAGCCCCATGTCTATTCATGCACCCTCCAAAGTCAACTCTACCCCTACTCTAGAAGGTTCTGGATAGGACCTTGTGCCTCTGCCCATCTTCCAATCTCTACTAAAACTAATGAAATACTAAGGGGACTTTTCACATGGTCCTGTAATATAAAAACCCTGCTGTCCAAATGCCTCTCTCCCAGTGCAGCCCCCTCACTGGGGTGGGGCCATGTTTCACTTATGTAATATTAAGTAAACTTGGACAGGTTTCTGCTCAGAGATAAATCTGATAGCTAACCACATTGCTCACGATTTCCAGCTGCACCTATGCCTTTACACGATTACATCTAGCGTGTTGGGCAGATTTAGAAATAAAGCCAGCCCGGGTCAAGATAAGAGATCATTTCATCGTGTACATTCTGACACAGTTAAGTACAGAAGAAGCTTGACATGAAAGGCTAGTGGAGGCTTAAGCATTTCTAGAGGCAATTGTCATTGCCATAAACAGTTGTTATCTTGAGACGATGTAAGAATTAAGTATCTCTTTTGGAAATAACACTAAACCTTATTAAAAACAGATGGTGACCGAAGGACAATCAAAATGAGTGTGACTGCTTTACAGCAACTCTCAGAGAGAGGTGGAATCCTGTTCCTCTCCTCTTGAGTCTGGGCTGGCTCCTCGCCTGCTTTGGCCAATGGAAAGTGCTGGAAGTGACAGGTGTGCCCTCCAGAACATTCCATCCAATCAAGTCTTCCAGTTGGTTGAAGGTCCCACTCAAGCTCTTGGCTGGTAGTCAGCTGAGCTGCCAGGGGTATGAATGGGCCATCCAGAACATTCCATCTAATCAAGTCTTCCACTTCGTGAAGGTCCCACTCAAGCTCTTGGCTGATAGCTGAGGTGCCAGGGGTATGAATGGGCCATCTAGAACATTCTATCCAATCAAGTCTTCCAGTTGCCTAGAGCTTCAGCCACCACCAAGTAGAGCAGTTGAGTCCTGTTAACGCTCAGAATCCAGAGACATAACAACAGCTGGGTGTTCATCTAGGCTGCTACATTTTATTTATTTATTTATTTATCTATTTATTTATTTATTTATTTATCTATCTATCTATCTACTACATTTTAGCATGATTTCTTCCATGTAGATAACCAAAATAAATAAGCAAAATACCACTTACATCAGGATGAGTGAAAACGAATACATGAAAGAAATAAGAGAAGCTTATTCTTCAGAGAAGTGGTGACATTTTTAGCTACATGCAAATCAATGGCTTACAACCCCATCTGTTTTTTTGTTTTTTTTCCCTTGGTTGCTGACTCATTGCACATGTCTGGCATTGTGAAATATGAACAACACAATATCGGTTTGCGGTTTTGAGTGGAGATGAAGAACAAGGGTGGTAGGAGGCATGGTTATATGTCATCCCCATGAGAGACCATGATAGCCCTCACAACTCACAAGGAATGGGCGTCCACATCCAATAGGGAGTACAGTGCTTACTGCCCATTTTCTCCCAAATTCCCCTGATTATTTCCTACCCAAGTGAAAGGTCAAGGCCAGAGAATACCAGAGATTCAGTGGCAGTTCATCAAGATGGCCCCACTCCTGTGATAACCCTTTTTCCACCCATCGACCTTCTCGGACCCAGTATTTTCACTGTGTGCAGCAGTAAAACATGGCGGGGACTACCTCTTGGCTTACGAGGAAGTGGTGGAGAACGTCGTGTATTCCACATTGCTCCTTGTGCTTCTTCGGTGCACCCACCCAAAGGGCAAACACTGTTTTTCATGTCATAGACCTGATTAGCTGTGATAATCCGTTTTCGGTGAATCACACATGTTTCTTTCTCCATTAGGTTCTAGTCTCACCAAATCATCACTCCCAAGTTACAGAAGAGCCAAGCAGACACTTGGCCATCTTCTCAAATTGGCCTGCCCTGCCATTTCTTTTTCAGCTGTCGGCCCGCATTTCTACCTTTTGTATGTAAACATCCTAAAATGAAGTTTCCACAGGGCAAGACTCTCTCTGGGAAAGGGCTAGAGCGTCTAGCTTCCTTGGGAGCAGCAGGGAGGATGGGGTGGGTGGAGGGGAGTTAAGGGGATGACACTCCCCCTCCAAGGGGTCACTTGTCTGGAGACATTTGGGTGTCATGATATGGTGGGAATGCTATTAGCCCCTGGCAGGTGGAGACCAGGGATGCTACTCAACACCCTACATCATAGATTATCTATCATCTATCGTCTATGTATCAATCATCTATGTATGTATGTTTGTAGGTATCCATCTACCATGTTTCATATCCATCCATCCATCCATCCATCAGTTCACCCATCCACCCATCCATCCATCCTGGTCTGTCCATCCATTCTATCTATCTATCTATCATCTATCTATCTATCTATCTATCTATCTATCTATCTATCTATCATCATCTACCTACCTACCTATCATCTATCAGCTATCACACCAGGATATCCACATCCTAATCCCCATGTGATAAACAGAACAATGTTCCCCAAAGACATCCACTCCCTAATCCCTAGAACCTTTGAATATGTTACCTTACAAGGCAAAAGTGCTTCTCCAGATGTGGTGAAGAATCTGGAGATGTGGAGAATTCATCTGGATTATCCGGGTGGGCACAGGCTCCTCATTTATATGAGAGAGGCAGAGGGATCAGAATCGGAGAGAGAGCTGTGACTATGGAAGCTGAGGTGGGAGGGATGTGGGTCTGCCAGCCAAGGAATGCAGGCAGCTCGAGCAGCTGGGATGGCAAGAAATCCGATTCTGCTTCAGAAACCCCAGCAGGAATGCCGGCCTGCCAACACTGTGATGTTAGCACAGGGAGACCCGTGTGGGACTCCTGGTCTTCAGGATGCTCAGGGTGGAAGGATCTGAGGTCAGGGGTCAGGGAGACTTGAGTCAGCCTGCATTTAATAAGTGATTGGAAGTCACTCTGTGCAAGCTCAGCTTCCCAGAAACACAGTTTTTCACTCTAAATTGAAGTTACTGCAAATTTTTCCTGGTTTTTTTTTTTTTTTTTTTTTTTTTTTGTGAGTGGGAGAGGGTTTTTCCCCCTATGTTCTTTTGCTCATGGATTCTTTGCTAATGAAAGTGCTTTGTCACCATGGCCTATTTTTATCCATACAGTAATCACTGTGAGTATTATTTAAGAAATTTTAAAAAATGTTTTTAAATTTAAATTATAAAAAAGTTGTTTAATCTCTACCCCCGAATGTGGGGCTTGAACTCATGACCCTGAAACTAAGAGTCACATGCTTCACAGACTGAGCTAGCCAGGCGCTCCCCTTCTATAATTTCATTTATTTATTTATTTATTTATTTATTTATTTATTTATTTATTTATTTTCCCTTCTATAATTTTAGTATGAGCCCTGGGCAGCTATTCCAGGGAGCGCATTTGTTTTTTTTCCTTTATTTATTTTTTTAAAAAGATTTTATTTGAGAGAGAGAGCATGAGCAGAGGGAAAGGCAGAGGGAGAGGGAGAAGCAGGCTCCCTGCTGAGCACAGAGCCTGACTTGGTACTTGATCCCAGGACTCCTAGATCATGACGTGAACTGAAGGGAGATGCTTAACCCATGGAGCCACCCTGGTGGGTGTCCCCCAGGAGCACCTTTGAAGGCAGAAGCTATGGACAGAAATTGGCCACTGACAGGTGGCCAGTCTCAGGTTTGTGCTCTTGAGCAACACACACCAACCAGTCTCCCCGTTAACCCCACGAACGGTGATTCTTCGTTGGAGTTCTGAAAGTCCCTGAGGTATGAACCGTAAGAACACCAGGCTCACCTCCTTCCCTGCAGCTTGGCTGGAGCCACATGGACGGAGGTGGGGGGTGTCAAACGTCCACACCTCTTGATGACCTGCCATGCTGGCCATCCACAGCGTGGCTGCAGGACTTCACCAACCAGCCAGAACCCTTTCAAGCAGAGCTCATGGGCAGTGAGTATGCAAGAGTGATCTTACATTTTTGTCGTGTTGTTTTTTTTTTTTTTTTGAGTCATCGTTTTAAGTCAAGATTGAATCCGCTTCCCGTTGTCATTTCCTTCTTTCTGTTCCACTCTTTAAACAGAGGGTAGCCTCTGTAGATGAGCCATGAAGGCACACGGACCTTGTGCTCGCTCTGTTGTGGGTCTCCCCAAGAATGAGGACGGTGCTTCTGCCTTGGGCGTCTGCCGCCGTCTTCCTGCTGGCCACCGTGACGGTTTCGGGGGACGAGGCACTGGGTGAGCCCTGCTTGGAGATGCGGCCGCTTGTGTGCCTAGAGTGTCCTTTACTTTAACATGCCTTCCTTCGGTCTTTCCTTCCCTCCTTCTGCTCTTTTTCTCTTTCTCTTTTGCAACTGTAGCATTTGTCGTCTTGTTTTTGTGTTTTTCTTTCTCTGCTTCTTAGCAGTAGCAAGGAGCTCGCCCAGATTTCCCAGCTCCTGCAAACCTGAGTTTGCCTCTTTGCAAAGGGCTCATGATGGATCGACTTCCAATGCATTCGGTTCAAATGTGCAAAAAAAAAAAAAAAAAAAAAAAAAAAACTGCCAATACAAAGAGCCCAGGTCCATCTGCTGCATGCAGGGCTCTGGGTGGCTTCTCTGTCCGCTTTGCTTTCCCAGAGAGCAAAGCCTTTATGTTTACGTGAATATCGGTCTGTCCAAAATGAGCTCGTGTCACATCTGAGAAAAAGGTGAGGGCGAGAGAAGGTCGATGGAGAGATCCAGCTGCCGTGGGGATTGTGGGGGCCGCTCTTCTGCCATATGGGATTTTCTAGCATGCGGGTGGCAGACACAGGAACTGGGGAAGGCACTTCTAGGACCTCTCATCTGTGAAGGGTCACGTCGCGTCACTCCATGCTCGTCCCTGTGTGTCTGAGCTGCCCTCTTGCCTGCCTGGTTTGCAAAGCTCAGTCCAGAGACGCCCCATTGGCTACAGTCTCTTGACGGCACATTGGGGATCCCGCTGGCTCAGCACTGACTCCCAGAGAGTCTGAGTGTGGGTCTCCTCTAGACTGGGCTACAGCAGCACAAACACGATTTCTCGAATTGCATGTATCAGATGCTCCACTCACACCCCCCCATGTGCCAGGCACACCCTCAAAGCTTTTCTAGCTTGGGGAATGCCGGAGCTCGTTTTGTTCCTGAAAGCTGTTTGTGGTTTGCTTGCTTTTCCTTCAATGGAGTTGACTTGTACCCGAGTCCTTATAGGCACAGAAGCCTTAGAAACTAAGTAGTCGAGGGAATGGGGTCTCACAGGGGTGCAGCCCTGGGAAAGCTCCCCGCAGGGCTCCTGCGCTCCCTGGTGTCCCCGTCATTAATCCACCGGTACTTGCAATACGCACGGGTCATACGCAGTGATGGGACCAGTCGGGATCCCACAGATGTATGGGGAGGCCACTGTCGTGCCGACCGTTTGAGACATGAGGACCCATTTTGGGCTTCACATCGCACGTGTATCAGGGGCCAGGTTTACATTTCCGATGGTGCATCAGGACAATGTCCGTTCACCCAGAATGTGCCCAGGAACAGACAGGGGGCTCGTGCAGATTTAGGGACGGAGAGGTGTGTGTAGCTGAGTGCAGATGCTCAGCTCACATGCAGCAAGACTCAGGGGTGGGTGAGGGTGGAGGTGTGTGCAGGGGAGGAAGCTGAGTGCAGACGCAGAAGGGGTCCCGAGTGCACCTGCTCCCCCAGGAGACAGGAGGGACACAGCCTGGGCATCGGGCTCCCTCTGCACCACGGACGTGTGCAGCTTTCACCCCTGCTGCCATGGTGCTGATGCTGGAGGAGCCTTGCAGGGCGTGCTGAGGTGAAGCGTTCCCACCCTAGAATAGGACCAGATACATCCAGCCCCGCTATGAACACCCACTTACCCGCCTTTCCTCGGCAACTGTGGAGCATCTTAGGAGCATCGAGGCCTATGATGATCGTTCCCATACCCTAGTGTGCCACATGCCCTCGCCCTGTGGGCTCAGCTGCGACCCCTCAAATCATCAAGTCTGAGCCCCTACAACCTCCCCCTGGACCTTATTTGCAAAGAAGGTGTTTGTAGAGGTTGGGCGGCCAGCTCTTAGCTGTGGACGGGACAGACCTGTCAGCACAGAGCCGTGGGTGCCGCATGTAGACCGCGCATCTGGGTGACAGAGCGGACCAGAAAAGGGAGGAGCGCCCAAGCGGGGTGGGCAGACGGGCTGACAGGTGTGAGCTTGGTTCCGGAAGGTGTCCACATGGACGTGGCCCTGCAGGGCGGCACCGCCATCTGGCTGCCGTTGCATTTGCGTTGAGCAACCGTTGCCAGCACTTCGGCTGCCTGGTAAATAAGGTAGGTGGAGAGAAAGTAAGAGAGAGAGTCCAAATCACACGATTCACATTGCAGACCCTATCAGAACCATCACACGGGTTGACGGCTCGCCGCTGTGATGTCACGCGGACCGGCTCTGCCTTGGGGAGGGGTCCGTGAGGCTGCGTTTTCCGCCACCCTCCTTCCACCTGCGGAGCCCACGAGCGCCCAGGAGGAGGGCACGGGGGGCATCCCAATGTGACTTCACGGGTTCTGGAGCTTGGTGCCCTCACTCTGGGGACACACAAGAACCATCCGGAGTTTCCTGCATGACTAATGCTGTGAGCCCTTGTGGTCTCTGCCCATGTCTCTGCACTGGCAGCTGTGAACCTGCTGTGAACCCTGAACTGCACCCCTGCCCACCCCGTCAATGGGGAGCGACCGAGGATTTTTACAGGACCCCGCCACCGTCCACGGGTGCATCCGTGGTTTCCCCACTGGGCCTGCCACTGCTCTGGTGGCCCACTGGGTACTCACCCCAAAAATACCCGGCGCCGCGTCCAGTGGTGGTGACACCCACATTCGTAGTAGCAGGTTCTTGTGCTGCGTCCATCATCTTCTCTGTTCCTCTGTCTGCGTGTCTTGAACTGGGACGTGGGTACCACACCCAGAAGGAGATTGTTGGTGTTCAAATGACGCACCCTCACTCACCATTGTCACCGTTTGCAAATGCTCCGAAATCCGTTGGTTCCGGATTTCCCTGCAGCTTTCCGATCGGGTGTTACAGAAACAAATGCTATTTTGCTAAAGATCCGCAGGGTCCTTGCAACCGGGGAGCTGGTGGTCCCAGCACGTTCCTATCGCAACATGTTCGTGGGGGGGACCCTGCTCATCACAATGGAGGGGGTAAGCTCTCCCTCAATAGAGGAGAAGGCCACAGGCAGGGCAGGGCAAGAAGGTGAAATGGGACACATCTTTCTGTTTTGTTTTATTTTATTTTATTTTATTTTATTTTATTTTATTTTATTTATTTATGATAGTCACAGAGAGAGAGAGAGAGAGAGAGGCAGAGACATAGGCAGAAGGAGAAGCAGGCTCCATGCACCGGGAGCCCGACGTGGGATTCAATCCCGGGTCTCCAGGATCGCGCCCTGGGCCAAAGGCAGGCGCCAAACCGCTGCGCCACCCAGGGATCCCTGTTTTATTTTATTATTTTATTTTATTTTATTTTATTTTTTAATTGATTGATTTGAAAACAGCCTTAATGATATATAATTGGTCCATTTAAAATGCAGATTTTAGTAGATTTTAGTAGATGCACAGATATGTGCAATGAGTTTTAGAGCATTTCCGTCATCCCCAGAGGGAACTCTAAAACCCCACTAATCTGTCATTCTGGGATCCCGATCCCGTTCCCAGCTCCCGACAACCACTAACAGGCTCTCTGTGTCCCCGGATTTCCATATTTGGACAACTTCCCATCCATGATATCACACACTCTGTGAGAATTTTTGTGGGTCCGTTCACACGGCTGCTTATTTTCATATTTCAGCCACATTGTAGAAGTGTTTTTTTTTTTAATTCCATCTTATGAATGCTGCTCCATCATATGGATGGATCGCAGTGTGTTTGTCCAAAGAAACGGTTTTCAGAATTTTGCATAGGGGTGCCTGGGTGGCTCAGTCCATGGAGCATCCAACTCTCAGTTTTGGTTCAAGTTGTGTGACCTCAAGGTTGCGAGATTGAGTGCGAGGTTGCAAGGAGACTTCTTAAAGATTCTCCGTCCGCACACAGTCTCACTCTCACCCTTTAAAATAAGTCAATAAGTAAAAAAAAAAAAATAAGGGATCCCTGGGTGGCGCAGTGGTTTGGCGCCTGTCTTTGGCCCGGGGCGCGATCCTGGAGACCCGGGATCGAATCCCACGTCAGGCTCCCGGTGCATGGAGCCTGCTTCTAAATTAAAAAAGAAAAAAGAAATAAAAAAGAAATAAAAAAAGAAAAAAGAAATTAAAAAAGGAAATAAAAAAGAAAAGAAAAAAGAAAAGAAAAAAAAGAAATTAAAAAAAAAAGAAAAAAAAAAAAAAAGAAATGGTTTAGCCCTGAATGAAACAGGGTGGAACACCTGTCTCATTGGTATCAAAACAAGGCAGCAAAATTCATTTCAACCATTTCTTGGAGGGACACATTCCCAAATCTAGAGCATGAGCGATTACTTCAAGAAATATCGTAAAATTATGTTGCCAAATGCAATTTTTGTACAAAATTAAGTTGCTTATTGTTTTTTAAAAAATGATGGTTAGCTATATATAGAATGTTCTGTCTATAAAGTGTACATTAAGTACATTCACATGGTTGTGCAACCACCCTCACCATTCGTTTCTAGAACTTTCTCATCTTCCCAAACTGAAACTCTGTCTCCATTAAACACTGAGTCCCGTCTCCTCCCCATCCCTCCTCCCCATCCCATGGTGTCCACCATCTAGTGCATGTGGGGCTCTCCTGAAAAGTGGGGATTTTTGAATACAAGTGAACTACTGATGAAGTCTGGACATTGGTGTCCCAAGCATCGTTCTCTGCCTTCCTCTCTCTGTACAGACAACTTCTATCGCTTGGACTGCCTGCGTTAAGGGTCGTCGGCTACCATGTGCAATTTTACGCCTTTGCGTCTCGACGCGGTCTAATAAGTTCATCACATCTAGTAAAACCGACGTGTGCTTTCCGAGCAACAACTGGAGGGGGAAAGCACATCTCTGGCGTCCGTGCATTCCTTTTTGTTCAGGAAAATCACTTTATTATAAAATAGGCATTGAAGCAGAATGCGACACACGTCTACCGCACGCACCAACACAGTGCACCAACGAGATCTACAAAGACGAGACATCTACAAACACAGAAACCCTTTACTAGAGCTCGTGGACACAACCCATGACACACGTAATCTGTGAATAAATAATGACTAGTCCTCGACCTGGTGACCCCTCAGCACCTTTTGTCAGATAAGGTTTTCCCTAACTTCACCTGGTAATTGGAGACACTGTCTGTGTTAGCTCATTGGATTTATCCCATGGGGGGAAAAAAACTCTTATCTTTATGACAAGATGTGTTCCAACCTGGAGCCAGACTTTCCCTCACACTACAAGTGGGAGGTGGAGCATCACATTCCCTGGTATTTGCATTTCAAAGAGTTGGTTTCCTTGAGAAAGATACCCCTGGGTCCTGAGTCTGGTAAAGATCTTATTAAGTTTTAAAAGGATTTGCATGGATGTCAAAGACATGGAGAAATATCTGACAAGTTTCCTAAGTAAATTCTCAAGAAAATGGAGGGGGGGAGGCCTCTCTTCCTTTATTTCATTTTATTTTATTTTTTTTATTTTATTTATTTTATTTTATTTTATCTTTTTTTTAAAAAAGAGAGATGCTTTTTATTTTTTATTTATTTATTTTTTTTGCTTTTTATTTTTTTTAATTTTTATTTATTTATGATAGTCACACACAGAGAGAGAGAGGCAAAGACACAGGCAGAGGGAGAAGCAGGCTCCATGCATCGGGAGCCCGATGTGGGATTCGATCCCGGGTCTCCAGGATCGCGCCCTGGGCCAAAGGCAGGTGCCAAACCGCTGCGCCACCCAGGGAGCCCCTTGTTTTGTTTTGTTTAATTTAATTTAATTTAGTTTTACTTTTAATTCAATTTCATTTTCATTTTATTTTATTCTATTTTTCCTAAGATTTTATTTATTTGGGCAGCCTGGGTGGCTCAGCGGTTTAGCACCAACTTCAGCCCAGGGTGTGATCCTGGAGACCCGGGATCGAGTCCCACGTCCGACTCCCTGCATGGAGCCTGCTTCTCCCTCTGCCTGTGTCTCTGCCTCTCTCTTTCCTTGTGTCTCTCATGAATAAATAAATTAAATATTTTAAAAAATAGATTTTATTTATTAATTTGACTGAGAGTGAGCACGAGCAAGGGGAGGGGCAGAGGGAGAAGCAGACTCCCTGCTGACCAGGGAGCCCAACTGGGAGCTCGATCCCAGGACCCTGAGATCCTGACCTGAGCTGAAGGCAGATGCTTAACCAACTGAGCAACACGGGTGCCCCAAGTCTTTTGTTTTTAAATTTTGATTTGCCCTTTCAAGGCACAGGCAGGGCAGGGGTAAAGACCAAAAATGCAAAGCAAAAGTTCTCTTTCTATTTTGCAAACTGCACCCAAGACCTCACAAATATCTTCCTAATCTTGGACCTGCTTTCATGCCCAGTGCTACCTGAAAGAGCAACCCTGTGCTACATGAAAACATTTTGTAGGGTCACCGGAAGACCTTCTGTGCTTTCCTTTCCCTTTTCAGAGAAGTCTCGCCCACACCCCAGTCAGGAGAACCCCAATCATGTCCCTCACCTACACTGGTTGGGGACATCTGAATCTGTTCTGGGAAGTTGACAAAGAAGTAACAGAGACATGGTGACTTGCTTTTCTCCCTTTTCCAAGTCTGATCTCACTCCCTCCTGTCCGCGCAGCTGACTCATCCTGTGGGGGTGGCAGTGAAGTGCAGGAACAGTTCTGCTTTCCTGCTGGTGCACGGGGCATCAGGCTTTATCCATTAGATGTGTTCCACAGACAGAGGTCTGAAGATCTGAAATAACATTGGCACCTCAGCTGTAAACTTCCCTCCCTTTCAGACCCGGGAGGTGTTCACTGTGAGGGATGGATACTGGTTCCTTCCCTGAAGGTCAGAGATTTCCAGAAGCCAGGACATCCTTCCTAACATCTCCTCTCTCTTTCTGGAACCAATGGATCAATAGGTCTGAGGTTACCTGTTTTGTGATCAGTCACATCAAGAACAATGGTCAGCACAGAACAGAAGTATTCCATACACCTCGGGCATCTGAAAGGCTTCCTTAAAAACTCAAAGAACATTTTCATCTCTCCTTCTACCTTTAATTGGACACCAAATGCACTTGTTGGTGGTCCACTCCCTGGTACGGCAAGCTTTGAATAAATGTACTCTCCTTGTTCTTATTTGGGTGTCCTTTGTTCATTTCTACAATGTAGATGGTCACTGGCCGATCACACAAAAATATTGTTTTGGGAGGTCTTGAAAAACATCAGTGAAATAGCAGATTGAATTTGGATTGGTGAGAAGGTGTGATGAGAAAGCATGGCTAATTCTGGACCATGAAGTACGATGCGACCCCATGAATGTTCAGCAGGCCAAGTCTTCCAGCCCAGAGACCTTATGGGGTGTTGAGCAAACAGATCCAAGGTCATGATGTATATTTGCCTCCTGCTTTAGGAGTGGGGTTGCTGAACCCAGGACTGAATGTGAAATGTGAGTCCCTGACCTGGAGACTTCGAGACCCTCTTTCTCAGCATTTGTGAACATGTATCTCTTCACCTCATCATGTATCTCATCATACTCATGACCTGCTGGGTGCTAGAAATGTGTCCATTGACCATCCATCCATCCATCCATTATCTATCTATCTATCTATCTATCTATCTATCTATCTATCCATCCATTCAACCATCTGTCATATCTATCATCTATTATCTATCTACCCATCCATTATCTATCTATTTACCTATCCATCCATCATCTACTATCTATCCATCATATCTACCATATATTATCTATCTATCTATCTATCTATCTATCTATCTATCTATCATCTATTTATGTATTGGCCTATCTATCCATCCATCCATCCATCTATTATATCTATTCATCCAACCATCCATCCATCCATCCATAATCATCTAGATCTATCTATCTATCATCTATCTATCTATCTATCTATCTATCTATCTATCTATCTATCTATCTACCTATCTATCTATCCATCCTATCGTCTACATACTTAACCTGATACTTCCACTTCTAACTCAACACCACCGGGTTCATTCTAGCCTTCCGTATTCCCGAAATTGTCACTCCCTTTTCTGGCAGTTGGAAACTTGCCCTCTCTTATCCGCAGCATCACAGCACATTTACTTAATCCTAGAATACACCCATTAACTACTTTCACAATGACTAACCCAGGATGTGTGAAAATAAAAACTGCCCGAGCCTAAGTCACTTTAAAAGCAAAGACAGAAGGGTTCATTTGTCTGTGAACCTTTCCTCAAGTTGTCATGTGTGAGTTGTGAGTTTTCTGAGTGAGACCGTGAGTTTGGTGGATGGGGCACAGCGTCTAATGCCCCCTGTGTGCCCACAAAAGAGGAGGTCAGTGGACACACAGTTGATACTCAATAGCTGCTCTTCATACTAATTAATGGTCATTATGTCTTGCAAACATATGAAGAAAAGCAGCCGTAATCTTGCTCCTGACTTATTCCTCTGTCCCCAGTAACCCTTTATATATCCTGCAGCTCTTAACTGACATAATTAATGCCGGCTTGTTTGAGAAAAATCTTGATTTTATCCATCCCTATAAAGCATTCTATTATTCTTATGACTCAAGTGCTAATGTCCTTTTATAAATTTCCAACCGTTTTCAGCATTGCCTTAATGGATCCTCTATTTGTCTCTTTTTACCCAGAAGGAGTATTACAGCTTCAGATGATCAACTTTAATTTTGAAGCTGTGCAGGTTACATGGAACGCAAGCCAATACTCGGGGACAAATTTGACTTTCCTCTACAAGTAAGTGCCCCTCAGGAAGGGAACACCATGCCTTGTGCTCAAATAGTTCTTCTCCTGAGACACCAGCAATTGGGTGTGAAGGGCCAGCTAGTGAAGGTGTGAAGAATCAAGAATGTGCAAGTGTCAATGTGTGTGCTCTGTTTCGCCCTGACCCCTCACCACAACCGCAACCACACCTCCTATAACCAAGTGATGACTAAGTCACACTCAAAACCACCTAGATTCATACGAGGACATCCACAAGGTGCTTATTCATCCAGGACCATTCACAACGTCTCGACAGATACCTTTGACAGGAACCCTGTTCCCTCGAAACAAGGTATGCAGCCGTGGCAAAGGTTGACCTTCTGAGACGTTTCATGGCAGCTTTCCAGCAGCCACCTTCCAAAAATGTGTCTCCCTATCATGGGCTTTTTTGAAATTTTTTTTAAATTTTTTTTTTGTCTCAGTATAAATGTAGGAGAGAAGCATTCTCCAATTAACTTAGCCTCAATTCTGTGAATGGGAGATGTGTGATGTGTGATTGATTCTTCACAGTTTGATAGCATAGGAGATGAATGGGAAAGTGTACACAGGAGGGACATTTTAAGGTGAATTGGCTGGGAAATAAACATTTTAAAAAATCTGCTGGGTCTCCTAGATGGTCACATAGGTAAGTCACTTGAGCGTCAGTTTCTTTATTATAAAGGACATAATTCTCAATCAAGTCACTGCTTGGATTTGAGGACCTCAGGACAGAGCCTAAACTGGTCCCAACTGGGCACCATATTTTTTTTTCTTAATATTGTAGGAAGCCTCAGAGAGATCTCCAGTGTTGGTACATCCTTATTAAAGTGCCTCCTCAAATCAAGGGCATGGTGACTCTGCAAGTCAAACTGTACTTTTATTAGTTTTCTGGGGGCAGTCATAACACAGTGCCACAAACTGAGCAGCTTAGAACAACACAAATTCATCGTCTCCCAGTTCTGGAGACCAGAAGTTTGAGATCCAGGGGAGGCAGGTGCTTCCAAGGAGGGTCCATCCCGCCTCTTCCAGCATCTGGGGCTGCAGGCATCTCTGGGCTGGTGGCCACATCCCTCCCGTGTCTGCCTCCATCTTCACGTGGCTTGTCCTTTGTGTCTGTGTCTCGTCTTGTGTCTCTTATAGGGACAGTGTCACTGGATTTAGGACCCACTGTAATGCAAGATGACCTTATCTTGATATCTTTCCTTTAATCACATCTGTCAAGACCATATTTCCAAATGAGGCCCCATTCACAGATTGCAAGGATTAATGCATGAACAGGCCTTTTGGAGAACCACCATCCAACCCACTACAGGGGGCCTTCAGGGAGCATACTGTGTTGAGAGAGGGGGTATTTTTCTATTTGGACAGTTCTTGCTGTGCTTTAAGAAAGGGTCCTTGAAGCGAGTGAAGGGGGTTCCCAATCTGTGGCAGAGATATGGAGCAGAGGAGTGAGCCAGGAGATGTGTGAAGATGCTATTTTCAAAGACTCTCTATGGCTGAATGATTCTATGTTTTAACCACAGGCTAACCAGTGACGAGACTGATAGCCAATGCTCCAACTATATTCTTCAACAAAGTCGCACTGCTGGATGCCTCCTGGAGGCAAAAGAAGATGAAATTCTGTGCTTTTCCATCTGGAATGGAACACGTCTCCTTCTCAACAAATGTCAGTGGATCAGTGCTTACTGTAAGTACCAAAAATGAACTCGTTGCCAAGTGCCCCTTTCCTACTCCAACTTCGAAGAGACTGGCCTTCTAGAAATTTCGTCTTGATACACACAGTGGGCAAAGATGTGTCATGGCACTCTGTCCTCCAAAAGAGGGAGAGAGAGAGAGAGAAAAGCCCCCCTTTCCCCTCGATACCACCCCCATTGGTTTTCTTAGGTGCATTCAGGGTTGGCTGTCAATCTAGGGTTATGAAACACTGCAAATAAAAAGACCACAAACCAGGCAGCTTAAAAACAACAGAAATTAATCATCACTAAGCTCTGGAGACCAGAATCTGAGCTCCAGGTTGGGGAGAGTTGTGCGCCCTCCAGAGGCTCCAGAGGAGGGTCCTTCCTGCCTCTTCCAGCGTCGGGGGCTTTAGGTGTCCCTGAGCTGGTGTCCGCATCCCTCCTGTCTCGGTCTCCATCCTCATGTGGCTCCTCCTGTGTCTGTGTCTCTCCTCTTCCATCTAAGGACACTTGTTCTTGGATTTAGGACCATCCTGCTTCAGGATGAACTCATCCTATCTTGATTAGATCTGCAAGGACCTTATTTCCTAATAAAGCCACATTCACGGTACCAGAGATCAGCTCATGAACGTACTTGTCGGGGAACACCGTTTAACTCATGAAAGCGTTCATTTCCCAAAGGACAGGCTGGCGGGGAAGGAGTCTCATGTGACATTTTCCACGTTCTGTCTTCATTTTAGTTTGCTGAGGCTACTGCAACAAACTGCTACAAAGCGGGTGGCTTAAAACAACAGAAATTTGCCCTCCCACAGTTAAGAAGACCCCAGGCATCTGAAATCAAGGTGTGGGCAGAGCTGGTTCCTTCTGGAGGCTCTGGGGGATGATCTGTTCCATGTCTCTCTCTCTTGCCTTCTGGTGGCTGCCGTTTCCTTAGCTTGTAGATGCATCAGCTCCATCTATACCTCTATCTTCACATGCCCGTTTCCCTCTGTGTGTCTGTGTCTCGTCTTATGAGGACACTAATTATATAGGACCAGAGCCCACTCTACTCCAGTAAACCCCATTTTATCTTTAATTATTATGTCTGCAATGATCCCAAATGCACATATTCTGAGATATGGGGGCTAGGACTCCAACGTATCTTTCTTAGGGGACACTATTTATCCCATAACAGACATTTTCACACAATTTCAAAGAGTTCCTTTGACGACACACATTCAGGTCCTTGGAGCTCTGCTACAGATGTAATGAGGACGAATAACACCCTCATCCTCAGTCTAATAAAGTAATTTTAAAGATTATTTATTTATTCTTGAGAGAGAGAGAGACGCAGAGACATAGGCAGAAGGAGAAACAGGGTCCCTGCAGGGAGCCCGATGTGGGACTTGAACCTGGGATGGCAGGATCAAACCCTGAGCCAAAGGCAGATGCTCAACCGCTGAGCCACCCAGGCATCTCAATCCAATAAAGTATTAAGGAAAAGATTAAGGCAGGCCAGAGAATGTGAGTCTAAGCAAACTTACCACTATAATTTTAGAGATGTGGAATCTTTATCTTTGTAGAGGTGGTGATCATTTTGTTGTCTCTCCTTCTCAGTGAAACCCAGCTCCCCAAAAGACTTGAACTTCCAGTGGCATCAGGAAGCCATTACAGTGACCTGTTCTGATCTGCCCTACAAGCGTCTCCTCTATGAAATCCAGTACAAGAGTATGTTCGACACTGAGTGGCAGGTGAGCACTGGTAGCATCTTTTTCTCAGCCCAAGGGTGAGGAAGGATCCCCAAGTGGTAATCAAGAGAGACATGGAGAGACACAGAGACAGATGTTGGCATTTGTTTCAAAGAATTCCTTATGGGATTATAGGGGCAGACACATCTCAGGCCAGCAGGCTGGAAGCACAGACAGGTTTCCATTATGGTCTTTAGACTTCTCTGGGAAACTCCAGTCTATGTCCTCTCAGGGCCTTCGATGGATTGAGTAAGGCTCACCCACATTATAGAGTGACCTAAAGTTGGCTGATTAAAAACATCAATCATTTCAATAAAATACCTTCACAGTAACACCTAGGGTATCATCTAACTAAAAAACTGGACACCAAACTTGGCCAAGTTGACAAATAGAATTCACCATCACCATACCCTGTACCACCCACCCCTCTTTGCATGCCTTTTGAACATGAAGGTGAGAACCCTTTCTGGTACTATTTGGATGTAATCAATGGAATAAATTAAAATGATGTAAATATCAATGACTCAAGGGCTCATAGTTGTCTTCCAATAATCACCATATAAACAAGGGATTAACTTCTTGCAAAAGCAGAACTGGAGCCAATGGGCAAAACCTGTAGAAAGCAGATGGAATCACCTGGATCAGGTATAGTGAGGTGCCCATCCCCAGAGGTGCCCAAGGAGAGTCTTGAAGTTGGCTTGGATGGGATCTCGGAAAGACTGCCCTGGAAAAGTAGTTAAGCTACCTGGGCTATGAGCCGCCTGCCTATCCCAGGAGTCAATGATTCCACAAGTCTGCAAGGACACCTGTGTCCATCAAGGTTTGCAGACTTGGATGATGGGATCAACCAGAAGCATCATATCTCATGGGACCATCTAGGGAGTAGGGGGAGCTAAGGCAAGGTGAGTATAACTGAACATCTCAGCCTAGGATAGTCGATGTCTGCTGTGTCTACAGGTGTTGGGAGGGGATCCTTTCCACATTCACTCCAGATTTACTTACTGAGGATCTACTATGTCCCAAGCACTGAGAACATAATAATAGCACCTAGCCATGGCAACTTGGGGATGGATGTGATAACACGTGAAAAACATTGAGTAGGTTCACCCTTACTATGGTTACTCTAATTATTTTCACTACTAGGCTCACATCTACTACTCACTCCTATTACTCTTACTCAGCCTTATATTTGCTGGTGTCTGCACCAGCAAGGAGACAGCGAGGAGATCTGTCAACAGATGGAAATCCCTACTCTTATGAAGAGGCAAATCCTAAGTGCCCATATAATACATCCCTAAATCTGGAAATGGTGCAATAAAACGCAGCAATAAGAATAAAAATGAGAATACCATTGAAGGCCGTTGTATGTAACCCAAGCAGGACCCCTCCTATCAGAAAAGAGAAAAGCTGACCTAATGCTGGGTCTAGTAGAATACCATCACTGAAATGAAATTTGATGAAACTCGTCAAAGAAATACAAAGTAAAGCAATCGATGGGTACTGGAGAGCACCTAAAGAGCGTGGTAATAATAAAATGTGATACTGGTCAAGGATGTTGAGCATTAACAAAATTTAAGAGTTTATCAGTTGTTCTAGTTCTGACCTATTGAGCCCCTTTTTAGAAATTGATCTGGGCACTGGGGGGCTCAGTGGTCGAGTGTCTGCCTTTGGATCAGGTCGTAACCCCGGGGTTCTGGGATCGAGTCCCAGGGAGCCTGCTTCTCCCTCTGCCTGTGTCTCTGCCTTGCTCTCTGTGTCTCATGAATAAATAAATAAAATCCGGAAAAAAAATAGAAATTGATCCTAAGGAAAGAATTGAAAATGCGAATGTGGTTTTATACACAGAGACATCTGTTAAGGCATTATCTAAAATAAATACAAAGCATTGGAGGCCACCTCTATGCCATGCAATAGGGAGATGGTCAAATAAATAATGGTACATCTGTATGATAAAATATGTAAGTCACCAAAGGCACTATAGTGATAAATGATATTTAGTGATGAAAGCAATGTGTACAGTAAAACATCGCATTATATCAATACTCCTGCAAGGAAAGAAACAATATCAATTTGTTAATGGTGATTATATGATGGAACTGGAATAAAGGTTTTTACCGTTTCTAATTGTGTGTTTGTATGCGCATATGTTTTCTAAAGTCTCCAAAGTAAGCATGAGTTACTTTTGTATTCATACAAAAAAAATTACTTTTTCTTTTTAAGGAGTAACTTTTCACTAAGTAATTCTTTTTTTATTTATTTATTATATGATAGTCACACACACACACACACACACAGAGAGAGAGGCAGAGACACAGGCAGAGGGAGAAGCAGGCTCCATGCCCCGGGAGCCCGATGTGGGACTCGATCCTGGGTCTTCAGGATCACACCCTGGGCCAAAGGCAGGCGCCAAATCGCTGCGCCACCCAGGGATCCCTCACTAAGTAATTCTTAAAAGCATCTGTAGTACTATCTGTTACGAAGGATTGTTTCTTCTTGGAGGGGAGCGTAGAGATTGTTGGCTGCGTTTGTTTTCGTTAGGCAGACAGATGAAGTGCAACCGGAATGTGAATGCTGAAAAGTAGGAGCCTTATGTGACTCCCTAGTACAAAGACAAAGAGCTTAGGTCAAACCACTGATCCCGTGCTTGCTTTTTTTCCCTTCAGTCCAAGGAGGGAGAAACCTGCAATGTAACGACAGATGGCTTGGATGCTGAGAAATGTTATTTCTTCCGGGCCAGAGTGAAAACAATGGAGTCCAGCTATGGCCCCGACACATACCCAAGTGACTGGTCAGAGGTGATACACCAGCAAAAAGGGGAGCTGAGAGGTAATGCTTGCTACACAGCAGCACTGCACCTGTACATGGGCCAGCGCCTCGTCTTTTGGGGGAGAGAGGATTGGAGGTGCCTAAAAATGAATGACCTCACCTCCTACTTCAGAGATCAATTTGAAAGCATTTGTTTTGTTTTCCAGACCCCTTACGTTATTGGGCTAATTTTCACTTTTATTTCTATTAACAGCAACAATGATAATAAGTACTATTTATGAACGCTGATTCATTGATACAGGCATAGATCATAGATATATAAAATAGATGATAGATGACATCGACATATAGATATGATAGATATGTAAGTGAATGATAGTTCATAGATAAGTAGATGGATAGATGAATATAAGTGGATGGATGGATATATAGGTAGATGATAGATATGATGGATGGTTAGGCAGACAGACAGATAGATACAGATGGACAGATGGATGAATAGATAATAGATATGATGGATGGATGGGTGGATGGATGGATAGATGGACAGATGGATGGATACAGTATGAAAAATGGATGGATAGATGGATGGATAGGTGATGATAGATAGATAGATAGATAGATAGATAGATAGATAGATAGATAGACAGACAATAGCCAAAAGCAAGCCTCAGTTTCCTCAAACACCCTTGGCAACACAGGTACTTGAGAGCAGTGTGTTGAGTCTACACCACTTGCGCGGTGGCTACCCTGATGGGTGCCTGTCCAGAGACACCATCTCTCTTTCCAGGATATGTCCCACCGCAATCAAGATTTGCTGACTTTGCCGTTTATAAAGGAAAGAAAGTGGGGGATTGGAGCCTGACCTACTATCATCTTGAAAACTGACAGCAACTCATTCTTTTTTGCTTTAGATTCGTGCCAGGAGAAAAAACTTTTCCCCAAATTTATTTTAGTTTCTGGCATGGTTGCGTTGCTGACGGTGTCCCTTCTTCTTCTGTCTTTATGGAAAGTACAGAGGTAAGGATGACTCTTGAGAGCCTTGTCATACACACAGGATGGGAGGCTTTGTTTGCAATATGTCCACTAAGGAGAAAGGGAAAAAGAATCGTCTGATAGGGTTATTCGTCCGATAGGTGAGCATCCCATTTCCCACAGTGCACGCTTCGCCAACAGCGTCTTTTAAGAAAATTGAGGGAAACACTGCCGAAAATGCAGGGATACCTGGGGTATTTGTCTTGTAGAAACAGTAGAATATGTGAGTGTTAACTCCTACCAGAGGATTAGCTGGCTTCACACACAGACCCCGCTGAGCCGTTGTCCGCCTACCGTGTTGGAGCGGCAGGTGCTTAAAACACCTCTCAATTATTATTGAGACTTATCAAACAGAACTGTTGGGTGAAGGGAGAAGAATCGCACGTAGAAGCTCGTCTTGTTTTCTAATCAAGTGACGGATGTAGCGAAACAGAGCCCATAGACAGTTTTTCATGAATATCATATTAAATAGTTTTCTTTGCTCAGCTTTCTTACAACCACTTAACCACCGCCATGTCCATCCCTATGTAAACTGAGTCACGCTGCCCAGGCGTCTTGGCTGTGAATGACACCTGAAGGTACCGATGTCCAGGGTCGTGGGCACCATCTTGGGATGGTGGTTTCTTGGGATGAGGTTTCCATAGCAACTGCAGGGGTCCCGGGTAGAGAAAGATGGAGCACCACCCAGGAACATTGAGCCTGGGTCTGCACCGGGGTGAGTTGGACAACTCCACAGGGTCCCCCCGCTCAGAGCCAGATTCAGCATGGAAGTGCCTCGTTTAATTCTTGCCCACGACCTTTCCAGCCTCGTCACCCCTCTTTTACTGGCTCACATGCATGCCACCCAAACGGAGCTCTGCTAGGGTAGAGATGAAGCAATCAGATAAGGGTGCCTACCGGTGGCAGGCCCGGTGTTTTCAATAGAGAGTTGAAAGCACCCCTAGGGGAAACTGAGCCCCACGATTCTTGGAAAACACTAACGCTTGCCCTGCTTCAAGGGAATCCCCTTTGCAATGAGGGGTGAAAAGTCAACTATATTGGTTGGTGTCCTAGGGCGGCCGTCACAAAAGACCAGACACAGGGAGGCTCAAACCAGAGGCATTTATGAGATGTAGGTGTGGGCAGGGTTGATTACCCGAGGCCTGTCTTCTTGGAGTGTAGGCGCCATCGTGTCCCTGTGTGCCATCCCTCTGTGAGCGCACACATCCCCGTAATCACTCTGTCTTTTTGTAAAGACACCGGTCATGTTGAATTAGGACCATACTAGATTACAACCCTTTAAATCCAAGACCCGGGGGCCTGTGAACTAAAGTGACCAAAGGCAGACCAACCGGAGAAAAGCCAACTGTTTCTCTATTGATGTTATCATATTACGAGCGGGGAGGACCCAAAGATAGGAACTGAAAACCCAAAGAGGTAGTTAGTCTGGGGAGCCTCGCGTACCACTTGAACAAAGGGCAATGGTTGTGGAGACGTGGGTAGGTGGAGGAGAAAAAGGGTTCTGAAGCTGTGGTGGAGATGAATTCTGGGAAGGTGACTACAAAATGGAGACACAAAACAAATGACACAGAAAAGTTGTGTATGTGGAAAGATCTCAGCGAACAAAAATTAGTTCTCCTCTTCCTGGTAAGTGAGGCAGCCGGGGCGGGGGTTGGGGTGGGGTGGGGGGGAACCTTTACAAATGGAAATTTCTATTGCAAAATGGTAAAGTGATGCCTTGTGTTTAGGCAGCTGGAGAAGAACCCAGAGCTCCTCCCGTGTGTCCTGGATCCTAATAGCCTTCAGCCTCAAATAATCAATCTTCGGAGGGGGGCGTATTTTAGGGGGCAGCCCCATGAGGCGCGTCCCTTATGACTCGTTTATGCTCCATTGTTACCGCTTGAAAAGCACAATCTCCCCACACAAGTCCCAGCGAGGGTTATGGCTTTTGACCTATGATGTCAACCTCTATGACTGACACAGTTCGGCCCATTGCATCAAGCAAAGAGACGGGATGGTCTGTGGGTGGTGGGAATCGATATTGCGCATTAAGGTGCTCTGTGCCCCCGACATCACAGTGTCCAGTGTCGGTCAGAGGTGTCAAGTGGGTGTCAAGTGTCTGCAGAGTTGAGGTGGGGGGAGCACATGCCTTGACACGACAGGTACAGTTCCCTGCAGGCACCACATCTCTGCGGTGCAGCTGTGTCCCCATCCTCGGCCCCTTGGAGGTCCCCAGCCCTGCTCAGGCAAGCCTGCCGGCCTGACCAGACTCTCCGTTCCCATTTCAGAGTCAAGAAGCTCCTCATGCCCAGCGTGCCCGATCCCAAATTCACCTTCCCTGGGCTCTTTGAATCCCACCAGGGTAACTTCCAGGTAACTACCACCCCCCCAACCCCATGCATGTCCAACACGATTCCTTTATGTCTAATCCCTCTCCGTGCACCTTCGTTAGAACTGACATTTCTTCCTGCGATCTCCTTTACGTGCCCGCGAGCCTTTTCTGAAATGAGAGCCGTGGCTTCATCATTTTCTCCTGGTCGGAGATACCAGATCCAGAGAGGGGCTCAAGGGGCGGTTCGTCTTCAAACCAGCCCCACAGAGCTCTGCCCTCCCGGGATTTTCCAGCCCAATCGCCCTCTCATCTCAGCAGGAAGTTGTGCTCTTCGCGGGCTCACCCTGCACGGCTGAAAACAAACCCAAGACTTCCGCTTTTAAACGGTTTACAGGCATTGTTTCATTCACTTGATAAAGGCTTGCTTGTGGAGGGCTGGGCATGAGCAGCTGGCAACCGGGGAGAAGGGACCAGCCCCCCCCCACCCCCAGGACCTCGCCAGGTGGCGGTGTGCATTTTCCAGGATAATGCATTAGAAGTTTCTCCGGAGATGTCACCAGCCAGAGGCTTGAAACAACAGAAATTAATCATCTCCAAGCTCTGGAGACCATAGTCTGAGCTCTGGGGCGGGGCCTGAGGGAGGGTCCCTCCTGCCTCTTCCAGCATCTGGGGCCCCAGGCATCCCCGGGCTGGTGGCCACATCCCTCCCATCTCTGCCTCCATCCTCACGTGGCTCCTCCTCTGCGCCTGCGTCTCCTCCTCTTCTGTCTCTTCCGAGGACCCCTGTCGTTGGATGTAGGGCCACCCTCGTCCAGGACGAGCTCATCTCGGGTCCTTCACTTATATTTGCAAACACCCTATTTCCAAATAAGTTTACATTTATAGGTTCTGGAGGTTAGGATGGACAAATCTTTATTTTGGGAAGGGGTGTGCCCCATCCGACCTCCCACAGAGGCAAGTTTAATTTCCAACCTCCTTAGACATCAGGGACAAAACAAACAAACAAACAAACAAAAAAAAAAAACGGGGGAAAATTTTTTCCTCCACCCTCGTAGGTTCTCTTCTCAGGGCCTGCAAATTAAGCAGATGAGGACAGATTGGCATAAGAAAAGGTTGATTTAAAAAAAAAAAGAAAGAAAAGGTTGATTTCATAGGCACCCGGGGGCGGAGGGGTGTTCACAGAAAAGAAGTGAAAACCCCAAAGAGGTAGTTAGAAGCCCGGGCTCTGGCGCCATTTTCACACAGCGTGACAAAACCGGGAGAAGTGACAGGACAGTTATAGGGTGGGGGAGGGTGGGACCTGTGGGTGGCAGGTGTCATGTGGGAAGGTGACTGGGGTGAAAGTGAGGTTTGTTATGCAGACTGCAACCCTCTGGGGTGACGGGGGCTCTCCCTGCCCCTGTAGTGACACCTTTACACACGGAAATCTTTACTAAATGGAAATTCTTGCCCAGGCTTTTGTGCAGAAAAGGGGAAGGCAGACAGCTCCTCCTGAGGTTGTTCTTCCTTAATCACCTTCAGCTCAAAATAATCTTTTGTCCAAAGTGCCTTCCATGGGGCGGGGGTTTCCGGAGGGAGGGGCACGTCCTGATCCTCCTCTGGGGGAGATCCTAGGGAGAGAGAAGGGGGTTAGAAGAGCGTTTTCAGGACAAAAGACATGAAGGAGAGGAGGGAGGCTGGGCAGGGGAGAGAGGACGCCAAGCCGGAGCAAGGACCCCCCCACCCGGTTGGCATAGCGTCCCATGGAGACCCCTCCTCTGCCAGTATCAAGAACGTCCCCCCACCTAGGTGTGCGTTAGAATGGCAGCGTCCGGAACCCGCCTGGACCCGCTGGGGGATAATCCCGCTCACGAGAGTCCGGGTGACTTGCAAACACATTCAGTCGTGTTCCTTGTCGTTGCCCTCGTTCAAAGGGCCACAGAGGTGTTTGCAGATATGGCGTTTTGAGGATGACGGTAAAAGGCAGGTGTAAGAAGAACCACGGGGCGGGCTCAGGGATGCCGGGGCTTTCTGTTCCCGGGGGGTTGGCGTTCCCGCCCAGGGATGCTGGCTCGGGGGCCTGGCACCTGCCAACGGGCGTTTCCCTGAGTCCGACATGCCCTGTGCCATCCCCGCAGGAGTGGATCAAGGACACCCAGAACGTGGTCCCCTTGAATAAGGTGGAGGGTGCGGAGCACGATTGCGGCCCAGAAGAGGCTCTCGTCGTCCACCTGGCCACGGCTGAGGCCGAGATGCCCCTCATGACGACCGGCCCGTCGTGTCCGCAGACCAAGGAGGAAGAGGCCTCCGGGGACCCCAGCCAGCTTCCTGGCCGGCCCCTGCAAGGCGGCGGTGGCGGCGAGACGGTCTCTCTTGGTGGCTTCACGTTCGTGATGAGTGACAACTCATACGTCATGTTATGAGGGGACACAAACTCAGAAGCCAACATTGGGGTTTACGTTGACATTACAGCATCTTGGGGGCTCAGCACCACCGACAATGCCGGTGTTCAGGGTGGGGGGTCAGGGTCACAGAAGACCCCAAACGCCCAACCGGTGCGCTCCTTGTGTCCGCTTCCATCCCACGCATGTCTACTCACGGGATGCAAGGCAGACTCCCCGGGGATGGGGCGGGCCCGCGGCGTGTTGGAGCGTTTCTTGCTTTTTCAGCTCACGTCTCCTCGTGGCTGATGTTTTCATGTAAATTGTGTGGAAAGATGGCCCGGGTGCCGGGAGGCCTGCTTCCTCTGTGCGTGTCACCCACATCCCGCCCTTACAACGTCTTCACTCGCGAGCACTTTCTCCGCTCTTTCGAGATGCGGCCCACGGACCCAGCAAGCGGAGCAGCTGCTCCTGGGCCGGAAACGAACCCTGCCTTACAGACGCCAACCAGCCACCCAGCTCTTAACTGCGCGCGAGAAAAACACCCACTTTTCAACAACGGGGCGGTGGGGGGGGGACGCTTATCTTCCGGAGACTCTGTTTTTGTTGGCCTCTTTGCTCACATTCATCGATGAGACAGGTGAATGCAAACATGCCAAGTGCGGTGCCCGGAGTGCCTTGCCCTTGGGTGGGGCCTATCACACTGTATTTTGCAAAATGGAAATAACGAGACAAAAGAATTAGGCGTTTCTAGGTTTTCAAGGTCGTGGTTCTTCATGCCGGCAGGGAGGGTACCTGCTGCGTCTCTGTGGGCTGCAAATAGGATAAATTGGGAGCCCTTGTGGGGGAGTTTGTGTGTCATCACGTGGTCGTCCCTCTGTGTCTGCGTCCCCATTCTCTCTTCTTATAAGCACCCCAGTCCTATGCAATCAAGGCTCACCCTACAGACCTCATTGTACCTTAATTACCTGTTAAATGACCCAATCTTCTATTATAACCATATTCTGAGTTCCTGGGTTAGGGTTTCAATTTACGGGTTTTGGGGGATGCAATTCAGCACCCCCATTTAATCAGAAAGAAGAGGTGAAATTAAGAAATGCAAGCCCTGCACCATGAGGGCAACCCGCCCGCAGGTGAGGTGCCAGGGAGCCCTTGCACGTGCATCCTCACACACCCCCCGTTTCCCGATCCTGTAAACATCCCCATTTTGTGATGGAGAGAAGCTCACAAGAGCTGCACCGGCCAAAGCAAGAAACGCGAGGGATGCGTCTGTCACCCGCGGGACAGTCTTGGAGAAGCAAGTATGTTCTTCGCTTACGCGTTAAAAGCACTGTGCTCATCCTCAGCGGAGGATGGACTCCTCGGACGCCACCGTCAGCACCTGCTCAGGGGGGAAGGGAAATAGGCGGAAACATGGCCCAGAGGAGGGGAACCGTGCGTTCTCCAGCGATGCCGAACTGCCTGTTTGTGTCACACAGAAAGCAGGTTTTGCACCTGCCCAGGAACATCCCCCTGTTTCACGGGCTGGCGATGCCCTAGCGCATGTTGGCCTGGGGCTCGGGGGCTCACACCGTCCTGTGTGAAGCATCACTCTGGCATGTGTATTTTACTGCTGGTCCCTGGCCGGCGGGCGAGTGGGCGGATCTGGGGGCAAACACCACCTCCAGGCGGACGTGAATCAGCACTATTAGGGAAAATGAGCCTTGTGCAACTGATTATGAACCGTGCGGGGCTGGGCAGGGGGTGCGGGTGGTGGCGTCCACAGTGCAGGACAAGCCTGGCTTCTGGGTTAGGAGAGGCCCCCCTCCTTGGAACATGAAGGCTGAAGAGGGCATGGGCTTCCTGCACGGGAGTGCTGGGTTTGCACGCACGCATACACACACACACGCTCACATCCCTGCACAGAGGCACGGTCAAGCGCTCGCCACGTGGTCAATATCAGTAGCCTCCAGCGGCAGGAGGAAGACCCCAGCTCAGCCCTGCTCCCACCGGCTCCTCCACAGTAAAGCCCGCGTCCAGTTCTCAAACCCCATTCAGCCCCATTTGCAGGCGTGCATGGTGCCAGGCACCCCCATACGATGAGTTGTGTGCTTTCAGTGACATGCACTAAAAAAGAAAAAAGAAAAGGAGAGAAAGAGAGAATAGGACGGCAGTTACAGAGGGAAGAACAGATTTCATTCAGGGACGTTGCAACAGAGGAAAGGAGACCCCGGTGGAGAGCTGGCTCGGCTCTGAATACACTGTGAGAAAGTGGGGTTTACAGCCAAGGAGCAGGTGCGTTCATGGATGGACGGACAATCGCCAGTTGAGCAGATCTGCAGTTGATCGGGTATCCAGGTGACCAGGTATCCAGGTGAGCAGATATTGAGGGTGACCATATATAGGGGGTGGTAAGCAGTGAAGAAACCTATCAGATCTCTAGGTGAGCACATCTCCAGGTGGCCAGGTAGCCACGTGAGCAGATAACCAGGTGAGCAAGTACCCATGGGAACAGATATCGAGGTGACCAAGTATCCAGGTGAGCAGATAGCCAGGTGGCCAAGTATCCATGGGAAAATATATCCAGGTGACCAAGTATCCAGGTGAGCAGATAGCCAAGTGACCCGGTATCCATGTGAGCAGATATTCAGGTGACCAAGTTCCAGGTGAGCAGATCACCAGGTGACCAAGTATCCAGGTGAGCATTGATATGACCAGAAATCCATGTAAGCAGATATCCAGGAGACTGGGTATGCAGGTGACCAGGTATCCAGGTGACCAGTTATTGAGGGTGGTGGGAGATGAGGAACCCAATCAGACATCCAGGTGACCAGATCTCCAGGTGGCCAGGCATCCAGGTGGCCAGGTATCCATTGACCAGATATTGAGAGTCAAGGGTTCCCATGAAATGGAGTGAGTTGCATATTTTTGTAAAACTGGGTGATGCAGAGATGAACCCAGAAGCCCAAGAGTCAGTCCTAGTTGAGAAGGAGCTCAGCGGAGGCTGGTGGAGTCTGGTGGGGGAGACAATCTGTAGAGTGCTAGCCCCATCTTTGTCAATGCCCTGCATGAGTTTCCTGTGGCCACAGTAACAAACTACCCCAAACAGGTGACTCAGACGGTGGCTACAACAGAGGCCGGGCAGCTGAGAAAGGGTCCTCCCCGGAAGCCAACGCCATCAGTGTCTGTTGTCCCAGCCCCGGTTTGTGGGCGTTTGGCAGTCCCCCCGGAGACAGACAGTCGTATGGACAAAGCTGAGCCTGTGTTTGGGGTCGGGTGTTCACCAGGCCACACTCAGGATTGGCCCCGGGGGCCGGATGTTAATTCTCGTAATGCTGACTTCTCCCAGGGACATCTGTCTAGTGTCAGGAGTGCCCTGCAGGTGCACACCGCCCCAGAGGACCCCGTGTCCTGCCCCTTGGTGGGTTCTGGTTTGAGGGGACATGGCCGTTCTCTGCCAGGAGGTGTACATGGGGGCCCTGGAGCCTGGGGACGGGGGTTCTTCACTGTGAGTGAGCTTCAGCCACACGCCACTCAACTAACTGCGCAGGTGACCCCGGGGACAGACCCTGGGCTCCCTCCCTTCACAGCTAACCTCCCTGCCCCACAGAACGCCTCCCCAAACCCAGAATCTATGAACCATCACTGGGTTCTGAGGACATGCATTCGGAAACGGGACCCCCCCACACACACACCCCCACCCTGTAACGCGCACACCAAGCCCTCGGGTTTGCACACATCATGCATTCTTCTTCAGCCTGGCGAGTCTCCGGGCACATAGCTGGGGGCGGGCCTGACACTGGGTCTCGCGTGCGTCCTGAGAACCTGTAGGACAAACAGGCGGATGTTCAACAGAATCGTCGTGAGTCACAGATGCTATCTGTGCCCTGTGTTGGCATCCCGTTCCCCACCACGGCCCCGTCACCCCCGCCGCGAGCTGTCCCCACCTCCACACCCTGCTTATCGTGATCAATGGCACAGATTACAGTTAAAAGCTGAGGATGGTTCCCCAGCTGCTAACAAACCCAAGTCCCCCATCTCCCCGGCGACCACCCTAAAAAGGAGAGGGGACGTTGCCACGTGCAAAGCCCTTTCCACTTGGGCCGAGGGACACCTGTATTCAGCCTAAGACAAGTGTAGCTACCGCACATCCGCCGGAGCGAATCCTTTGCTACCATTCGCGATATAGAATCTATGGCAGAAAATCTGCGTGCAGACCTACGCATCCAGGCTCATAAAAGAAAATATTTGCTCTTTGTTGCAAGGATGTTGCCGAGTTAATCAAAAACCCGACCCTCTTGGTGCTAGGAAGTATGTGGAGCTCACCGCATGGAGCGCGAACGACGCGTTGTAGCAACATTCACACGCATCATGCATTTTGTATCCTATGCACGGTATTATGTATCACGCACATGCTACAATATGCGCACAAGACGTTTTCCTGCAACATAGTCTCTATAGCAGCTCGGAGTCCGTGCAAAATCATCCCAAGTCGACCAGAATTTTCCAGAAACAGAGAGCTCCATTTTCTTTCTTTCTTTTCTTTTCTTTTTTTTTTTTTAAACTCCATTTTTTAAAGGAGTTTAGAATGATCGACGCAGATCCTCCTGGAAGAACGTGGAATTGCAACGCCTCAAAAAAACCCATAAAATATCAGAAAGGGACACAGAACATAAAGACTTCTAACTCTGGGAAATGAACTAGGGGTGGTGGAAGGGGAGGAGGGCGGGGGGTGGGGGTGAATGGGTGACGGGCACGGAGGGGGACACTTGACGGGATGAGCACTGGGTGTTATTCTGTATGTTGGTAAATTGAACACCAATAAAAATTAATTTATAAAAAAAAAACCCATAAAAATTGCTCACTTCTCCTTACGTGCGATGGCGTCAAGGGGGAGCTGTCGCGCTGCGGTCTGCGTGGGAGCCCCTGGAAGGCTTGTGGCCGTCCCACCAGGGCTTCTGATTGTGCAGGTGCCTCTGCAGGTGTGTCCCAGGCGGGTCCAGCCCTGCTCCGCACCTCAGGTGAGGCCTTGGATTTGGACGAGAGAACGTCGGTTCACTTTGGGTGATGGCGCTCCAGCAGCCCGGGGTGTAAAACCCGCACTTTGCTGGCCATCATGGAGAAAACCCACAAGGTGATGCTCTCTTGTGAAATAATAAGAAAACAGCGTACCATCCGACAATGCGCCTGCTCAGTGTTTATCTGAAGGAAACAAAATCCCTAATTCAAGACGACACCTGCACCTGCACGTTCACAGCTCCTGGATTCACAGCAGCCAAGACATGGAAGCAACCGAGTGCATGGATGGGTAGATGGACACATGGGTTTGATGCTTCTGGCGCCTTCTGCCCCTATTTCAATCCAGTGCACACCCCAGAAGGACGGAGAAATGCGGGAATGTGGGCTTCATCACCTCATAGCCGGGTGGGAAACCCACAAAAGTCCCTGTGGCCAACTCCCCCAACAATGACCCTGGTCACCAGTGTCACCAGTGTCCACTCCCAACCTCAACGACACAAATCCCCACACTCACACGAGGAAACTGCAAAGCAACCCCTACATCCACTCTTCTACTGGGATGGCTCATACCCTTCACGAGTACATCCACCACTCAGTGACCCCAAACATACCTCCTAAAAACCCTACTGATGAGAGATCCTAGGCACACACCTCAGAGCTTCAGAAAGACACGTGAGTTAACTGTTGTAATCAAATATTGGAAGAAGTTCACTGCTTATCAGCTGAGCAGGTATGTATAGGGTTTTTACTCAA